TTTAAGTATCTACATTTTTGTATAATTTTGGCTCAATTTCACATTCAGAAATTTTCTTTTAAGTTTTTGAAAAATTTAGTCCATCTAAGCCATCCAGCAATCAACCAAAAGTTTAAGGAGAATATAAATTGAATAAGGAAAACTCTGAACTACTGCACCTCATTTCATTACTTCTCACCAACCCCTGACATATTACTGTTATTTGCTGCTGTATACACATATCCACAAATGAATATTGTGTCTGGGTTTTGTCCTTGTTGAGGCTGCATCCTGCCCCTTGGTGGAAGGTCTGTACCTGCAGGAAGCAGACAGCATGCTGCAGCTGCTGTGTGTTCCCTCCCAGCACCGCACCGACATACTGGCATGGATCTGCAGCAGGTAGAATAAAGTGCATAGAACATTACCCATGTTTTCATCTAAGTTTAGAACTAATTTGTGTATCAGTATAAACAAACCTCTCTGTGACTGTGTCATTTTACAGTATCAGTCCAAATTTTGCCAATTCCAAGGTGATGACAATGGGATCTAAAGACCCAGATGTCTTGACTAAAGGTAATGTTGCCTCCTAATGGAATAGAGGAAAAATAATTGAAGTGACAGTGCCCAGGGTTTATAATTTATAGTTTGTTTTTCCGATCTGTTTTTGTATAGAAATGGCTGTGTTTGGGCAGAAGCTGATGCTGTGCAAAGCAGGTGACCTCGACCTGATCAGGGTGAGAGGCTGCAGCAAAATAGCACTGATGTCATCAATGTACAGATATTCATTGTAACAGTAAATAAAAATGTTCTATCATGTCTTTGTAATTTGTCAAACCATTTATCCAGGGTGATGCAAGTCATCGTCGACAACTTCTGTTCCTGGAGCAGCTTTTAACTCTAGTCCCAGGCTGCAAGAAATCTGCTGGGCACAGAGTGGATAAAGAGATGCTTCTGAACGAGCTCTATGCTGCTGAGAATCTGCCTCACCTCACACAAATGCTCAAACCCACCCTCGAGCCCTGGCCTGCACACATCAAGTACATAGAATTTACTGTCACTGACTATCCTCACAATCAGAAACAGGTTTATGTCAAGTAGGTTTTCACATACAAGAAATTTG